TGTGAAAAAGCACTCATCGAATTTCTGATAGCTTCAACACTAATTCTCTATCAGACCTAAGATCTTCATTTGCAAACTCCAAGGCATCTCCACATCCATTCTCAATAGCCAATCGTACCAATTCTTGATCGTTTCGCAACTCGTTTACCATCAGTTCAAAAGCTCTCCCATTCACTCTCAAAGCCTTCATCACAAATTCTCGATTTTTCTTCAATTCATTACTTGCATCATAAATTCTACAAAAATCCAATCGGATAGCCTTCAGCATAATCTCTTCATTGTTTCTCATACACTCAGAGATGAATAAATTATCCAACTTCATCCTCTCCAATGCCAGTCCATACATGATCGGATCAAATTCGAATAGTTGGGCAATTTCGGAAAAGAAGGGAATTGCCTTGAGAGCCTTTCTTTCCAGGTCATATTTTTCTCGTAAAATTCGTGATGAACAGTTTGAATCTAAAAGCAAAATTGTGCAATGTGTTGTCATTTTTTTTGTAAAGTTTTTAACAAAGTTCTTGTTCCAATGTTAGTTCCTCAATTTAGAACTTATAAATATACATATTTTTTTCATATGATCGTAAGGCGGCTTAGCACAGTGGCAGTGCATCAGTCTTGTAGGCAGAAATGCTGAGATAACTGAGGGTCGAGGGTTCAATTCCCTCAGTCGCCTTTTGTCATTTTCATATTTTTTTTACATTCTGTTTTCAAGTCCCCAATCTTGTTTCAAACATTTTGATTAATACTTGATAAACGACAATAAAATAGAAAACAAACCTTCTCCCCATGAATTAGCACAAATCCAATAAGGAAGTTTTGAAGCAGAATCAACTCCCCATCTATTATAGAGTTATTTCACAATTTTGCAACAATATAAAAAAACATACCCAACAATCTTGATGGCATGTGCACCAACCATTCTTCCAGAAACGTGATGATATACTCCAGATTTATAACTGAAAAAGTCCTTATAAACAATCAGTAACCAACATATTCTTTATTATCATATTAACTTCGGCTGATCATTTTCAAGCCTTCCTTGGTTGCATCCAGACAAGGCTTTCATAAAACTACCAAAAAAAATACATCATCACTATCTGTGGT